TGACCCCCGGCTGCTGGCCCAACAGGGTGGGCAGCCCTGGAAGCTGCCCTGCAGCGAGCCGAGCTCTGCAGCTGGTGCCTCTGCTCATACCAGTTGTTCCTCTCAGCAGCACCTCCAGTCACCCTGCCAGGAACACCCCAACTCAGTAATGGCCTGAGGCCACCCCTTGTCCCCCTGGCAGCATCTCAGGGTAAGCAGGAAGGGTTGGGCTCCCTGTCACCGCTCCTTCCACTGCAGGAGGGTCTGCGGCCGACCCCGGCGTCCAGAGCTGGAGCAGCACATCCCACCCAGCACCTCCCGGATTAGCACCTGGCTGGGTCTCACAGCTGGGCAGGAGATGGAGAGGGGTAGGGAATAAAGATGGAGGTATATTGGGGATGGAAGGCAGATGGGATGCGTGGGGGCTCTGACACAGGAGACCAGCCCGGGGGGAGCAGAACAGCCCCTCAGAGCTGGTCCTGAATCCCAGTTCCACCCTTGGCATGCCCTGTGCTCCTCCATCACCTCTGCCAGAGCCAGGCACTGGCAGGCCCACCATGTCTGCAGGGACACAGACCCCAAAAGGACACCCTGTCCCTGTGCCCCCTATGCCACAGCCCCCAGCCAGCCCCTGGGGAGGGCAGTGAAGCCACCACCACATCCTTGGCTGCCAGTGTCCTTCTTTTGTCCTTGTAGAACAATCACAATCGCGGGAGGCTGGGTCAGCTTGGGGTGGTAGTGCAGCTCTGCAGTGTACAGCTGGGATTTGGGGTTTTTCCTTTAAAAACAACGAATGTGTGTTTGTAATTTGTAAAGGTTAAAAAAAAAAAGAGAAAAAAAAAAGAAAAAAAATGTGCCAAAAATGTACGAAGCATTTCATTTCCCTTCATACATGTCTGTTTTTATAAGAACAATGTGAAAATTGCTGGGATTAAATATTTTTGAACATGATAAAGTAGTTCCGTGGGAAACTCTAGCGTTCAGTATAACCTTGATACCAATTGTTCTGTGTTTTTAAATGTCTGAAATCAGTTTGCAGAGACTCGGGCCACAGGCTGCAGCGGTGCAGGGGAGAGTGAGGGCCGGGCATGCTGTGTGCCCTCCTGTGGGATGGTGGCCCGATGCCACTGGCTTGGCTCTGATTGCCAGATCCTGCCCTGGTGCAGCCCCATAGTGCCCCTGCTCCTGTGGGACGGAGGCACCCAAGCCCTGCTGGGACACGGAGTGAGCTGGCACAACCCTGGGGACATCTCCCCCCAGCACACCCTGGGGGAGCCAGCGCTGGCTCCCCCTGCACCCTCTGAACTCAGCATTGCCCGAGGCACTTGGGACCCCACGGGAGACTTGTGGCCCTGTTACGGAGGACATGCAGAAGGTTTGGGGGAGCCCTGTTAGCCCATTCCCTCCAGGCAGGGGGTTTGTGGGGATCCATCCTGCAGGTGCCCTGCTCACCCATCAGCTGCCCAACCACCCGTGGCTGTCACCTGGCAGCTCCTATGGCCGGGGCAGGACAGCTTTCCAAAACCACAGGGAGAACATGGTGGGATGGGGGGAGCTGCTTGGCCTGCCCCCCTCCATACAGCTTCAGACCAGCTGCATCCCATAGGCATGGATCAGGGGAGGTGCCCGGGCTAGGTGGGAAAAGTCCCCCTGCTGCTCCCTGGGAGCCTCTCCGGGCTGAACTGCTCTGGTGGCTCTCGAGACAAACCTCCAGGAGGTTTCCCCCCAGCATCAGGTGTGGGTAGGACAGTGTCATGTGGGGGGACCCTGAGCACAGGACCCCCTGAGCATGGTCCTGCTCAGGAGTGTGGTGGCAGAAGGGTGGCTGTCACCTCGCCAAGGAGCAGGGCCACTGGGATACCCCAGCTGAAACAGTGTTTCCTGATGCTTGCAGAGTTCCGGGTGTCCCTGGAAGCGGGAAGGGAGGGGGATGGTCAGGGAAATGCCCTTTCCCAGGGCATCCACCCATCCAAGGAATCCTGGGGTCTTCCATCCATCCCCGCACCTCCCTACACAAAACAATTCAACAACCTTGCCCTCTCTAAATGTGCTTTTAAACAAGGTTATGCTGTGACATCGATAATGGCTTTGTATAGCAGCTGCCAGGCTAATGCACAGGGGGCGAGGGAGCCAAAGCTCTGATGCAGAGCATTCCTGGGGGAGGGAGCTCGGGCTATTTTTGGACAGAGATTGCAAGAGAATTAAAGTGAAGGGAAAAAAAACCAAACCCTTGATGCTGCCGTTCCTCCTCGGTGACGTAAAGCCGGAGCCAATCTCTGGCCTCACGCGTTGTGCTGCAGATGAAGCTTTGTCTGGGCACAGCAGCCTCAGATACAACTCACCTCCCGCCCTGCACTGGGCCAAGCAGGGGACAGAGCGTGTCTGTGCCATGGCAGCCACGTGGCTGAGGGACCCCCGGGCTCAGGGGATGGAGCTGCAGGGACCCCTAAACTCCTTTCCAGCTGCACTGCAGGGTGGTGAGGCACAGCATCCCTGCCCGCTCTGGGGGAGGCACAGCATCCCTGCCCAGCCTAGAAGAGCTGGGAAAAGCCCTGGGATGCCCTTGGCACAGTTCTACCAGCGACACCCTGGCAGGAGCCCAGTACGCGGGCAGACTCCTGGCTCCAGCGGTTCCTTCTCCCTTTTCACGAGATGTCCTCCTGGGGCAGACACTGTCCGTGTCCTCCCCTCAGCTGCTGCCAAAACTGCGCCTGTGTTCTGCCAGGGCTGGGATTTCCTGGAGTGTTTAGGCTGGAGATGGGAGAGTGCTCCTGGAGGGGCCCTCCCTGTGCCGAGGAATCACAGAATCATGGAATGGTTTGGGTTGGAAAGCACCTTTAAAGACCATCCATATGCACCCCCTGCCACAGGCAGGGACACCTTCCACTAGACCAGGTTGCTTCAACCATCCAACCTGGCCCTGAACACTTCCAGGGATGGGGCAGCCACAGCTCCTCTGGGTAACCTGTGCCAGGGCCTCACCACCCTCACAGGGAAGAATTTCTTACCAATATCCAATCAAAACCTATTCACAGTTTAAAGTCATTCCCTCTTGTCCTGTCATTCCAGGCCCTTGCCCAAAGTCCCTCTCCAGCTCTCTTGGAGCCCCAGAAGAAAGCCAGGGGCAGGTTGTCCCACAGGGAAGTGTTGAGTGGCAGAGCTGGGGACAAGGGCCAGGGGAGCCAGCGAGGACAGGGAGCAGAAGACAGAGGGAGGAGAGAAAGACCAAGAGAGGGCCCAGAGCTGTGGAGCCTGCGACTGCTGACAGAAGGATGTGTTGTCTGACAGCAGCAGGAGCTGCTGGCTGAGGCTGGGGGTCTGGGAAGGAGCAGGATGAAATAAAGTCCTGCTCCTTTCACCCTGCAACACACAACGCTGCCAGGGCCCTGCAGCAGCAAAGTGGGGTGGGGAATGTGCTGCTGGGAACATGGGGAAGCAGCAGGAGCAGGTAGGAGGCAAAAATGTGTCAGGACAGAAAACAAGGAGCAGCTTAGGTCTGCAACAGCAGGGGATGAGGTTGCTCAGAGGAAGCATACACACACCTGAGGGGCTGAGCAGGGAAGTTCTAGTCCCACTTCCAGAGCCCAGCTCGAGCTGTGCCAGAGGAGGATGCGCAGGCACCGGATGGCCAAACCTGCAAAACAAGGCAGGGCTTTCCTTGTGCCAGGAGCAGTGACACGTGTCCCACACAGCTCCACGTGGCACTGCGAGAGGGCAGGGCAGTGTGCTCTGCCTGCACCCCAGCTCTGCCTGCAGGCAGGGGAACGGAGGAGGGAGGGCTGGAGCACTGGCCCCCCTGGGGCCCTCAGATCTGACAGCAATAGCTGAAGTGAACAGGAAATGGGCTGGGGAGGAAAAAAGGAAGCAGGAAGGCTCACAACAAACTATTTCTCCACCAGCACTTCAAAGTTGTTAAGGGACATCCCAGCCTGGGAACAGCTTCCCCCCATCCCAGGTGCCCCAGCACATCATCACATCCTCGCTGAGGTATTCCCTGGCTGCCTGCATCCTAAGCATTGCCTCCCTGGGAGTTCCTGTCCTCTGCATGCCAGGTGCACTCATCCTTGGGGACCAGCAACCCCTCCATCCCTAGGGCTGCAGCCCCAGGGGCCTGAATCTCTGGAGCCAGTACTTCACGCATCCCTGAATCCCTGGGTGCTGCATCCCTGGAGCCAGCATCCTGCACATCCCAACTGCTGCATCCCTAATAACCTGTGTCCCTGGAGTCAGTCCCTGCAGTCCCGTCCCTTGGGTGCCTGTATCCCTGTGTGCTCCCACCCCTGGGACCACCATCCCCGGGGCCAGCATCCTCTGCACTCTGACTGCTGCAAATCCCAGTGCCTCAATACTTGAAGCCCGAGTCCCTGCACGTCCCCTGCACCTCGTGGTGCTCCCGCACCTCCTGCGCCCCCGCCGCTGCAGCCCATCCCCTGTGTCCCCGGGGCGGTGTCCTGGGGTTCCCGCCGCCGGGATGGGCACTCCCTCGGGGACCATACCCGCCGCCTCCAGCCGCTCCACCCCCCGGGACCCCTCCCGAGTGCCGCAACCCCGCGGCTCCCCCCGCCCCTCCCGCCTGCGCGGTGCGGGAGCGCGGTGCGGGGGCGGACGCACCGCCCCGAGGCCGCGGCGAGGGGCGGGCGCGGGGGCGGGCGGGCGGTGCCGGGGCCGGGGCCGCAGCTGCCGCCCGGCGCGGTCCCGGCGGGGGCGGTGCGGCCCCTCCTGCCCGGGCTGCTGGGAGTTGTGGTCCGCTGCGGCGGCGGCAGGAGGAGCGGAGCGGCGCGGAGCGGAGCGCGGCCCCGCACGGCCCGGCGCGGGCAGCAGGTCGGTACCGCATCGCACCGCACCGCATCGCATCGCATCGCATCGCATCACATCGCATCGCATCGCATCGCATCGCATCGCATCGCATCGCGGGGGGGCCGCGGGCGAGCGGCGCGGGAGCGGAGCCCGCGGCGGGGGGCGCAGCCCGAACACCCCGGCCGGGGCAGGGGCTCGGCGTCGGGAGGGCGACACGGCTGTGCCGGGTGACAGCGCGGCAGCAGGTGCCACCGCCACGCCGGGTGATGCAGCCACACTGGTGACACTCGCTGACGCTGCCACGCTGGGTGACACCATCACACGGGGTGAGAGCAGCATGCAGGTGACACCGTCACACTGGTGACACCGCTGGGGTGGCATGCTGGAGGAGAGGGTGAAGGGAGCACCCACGGCTCTGGCTCCGGAGTGACAGTGGGCACTTCACCTCACCCCAGTGCTCCTGCTCCTCGTGCCTCTCCCAAAGGCGACGCCGGCTGTGCTGAGCTGAGGACATCCCTGCCATGCATCCCCGTCACCACGGGCCCACGGCCTGGGGATCCCAGCCAGGCTGAGCGGAACCCACTGCCTCCGGGAGATGCCAGGGCCACCACGGAGCCACCGAGATGCAACTTTGTGCTGCATCGAAGCCTCTGCCTTCCTTATGTAACGCAGCTGCTGCTGGCACGGTGCTCGCCTCCACGTCCTGCACAACTTCGGTGCAACGTGGAATTGATCTCCTCTCCCTGGAATGGCTCTGCTGGTATCATTAGCTGAGGAGCCTTTTCTGGGATCTGAGGCCGGGGGTGCTGGATGCGACCACCCGTCTAATTGCAGGGCTGTGGCTGGAAGTTGACAGCACCTATTGGGTGCCCTGGGCAGGTCCTGGCCATGCAGTGTCCACTGGGAGTGGTGCCGGTGTTTGGGGCCCTGCTTCGCTGCCACAGCCCCTGCGGAGGTGGGTTTGGGCAGGTTTGCAGTGGGGTGTCTGTGCAAGCATAGGAGGCAGCTCCTGGGATGGATCCCATGAAGTCTCTGCCCAGAGGAGACCAGGGCTCTCCAGCCCGAGCAGGCGGCACATGGGCATAGGGGCTTTGATCTCTTGCTGCTCTGATGGTTTGCCCCTGACTTTCTGCCTTTGAGGCACTGACAGCAGCAGTGAGGCTGTGTTTGTGCCATGCTGCCCTCACAGGATGTGACTCCGGCCTGGGGACCCCAAGGGTATCGGACCCCCAGCTCTGCCCCCCATGCCCTCTTTGTCAGTCTGTCTGACCGAGCCTGGCTGCTGTGCTGGGGTGGCTCCCTGCTCGCCTGGCAGGGTGAGAGCCACCCTGAATACAGATCACACCAGGGCTCTGCTGACTTTCCTGGCACACTCTGGGCCTGCAGGGAGCATGAGGGGGTTGTGTTGGCCTTGGGGGACACCCCTGTGACCGACTCTATGGTTGCACCCCAGGAGCTGAGGCCTGGGTGAGAGAAACCAGTGTCTGGAGGGATGCCAGCTGTGGGGATGGAGGAAAGTTATCTTAGGATTCCCAGGAGGCTGTGACGTGCCACGTGGATTGCAGATGCTGGGACGGGGCACACAGGCAATGTGCTACAAGGAAGTAGGGTGTGTGGATGTCCCTCCCTGGGGTGGGAGGGTTTCATGCCTGAAACCCATGTCCCCAACGCTGCACAAGGTCCCAGCTGCAAGGTCAGGTCCCTCCTGCAGCCCATTCCCATCCCCACTGATAAGGAAATGCATGTGTAGAGGATGCAGGACCTTGGTATGAAGGGCTGGGAAGGGTTTGGATGACTTCCCTGGCTCATAAATGCATCCTGCTCCTTAGAGTAAGTGCTCTCACAGATAAGCCAGTGAAATCAAACAGGCCAACCCCAACCTGCCCCTGTTACCACCATCCTGACATGCCACTGTGGGTATGTGACCTTGGCAGTCTGGCCAAGTGCTGGGCTCTCACACAGCTCGGTCTCTGGAGGGAAACTCACTTCAGAGCGGTTAGATGGAGGGGATAAGCTGATGTGCTGCCAGATAGGGCTGTGAAGTGTCTATTCCCAGTGTCTATTCTCTTATCAGCCAGATTTCAGAGATGATAAGGCAGCAACTTAGGAGAGAAATGGGAAGAAGAGCAGGAAGGGAGATGGTCCCTGGGCTGATGGAGGTGGGCTCTGAGTCTCCCTGCTACCTCTCATTTGTATATTTGTGGAAGATCCTGTTGGAAGGGGTGTGGGTTTTTCTTGGCATGGGATGAGGTTGGGCTCCTGGGCAGGGAGGAGGACTCCTCATCCATCATCCCCTCCCAGAGAAGCTGGTGTCCTGCACAGCCCCAGCACATGACCCTGGCTGTGGCTCTTGCACTGTCTGCTGCAGGGACTCCAAGGGGCAGCTCCCTTCCTAATACCTCTGGGTTTCTCTCCCCAGATCTTCCCTCCAAGGGAACCTTCCAGGATGATCGGCCCAGGAGCACTGCTGGGGACCCTCCAGGCACGTTGGTGCTGACTCAGCACTGGGACCCTCAGGCAGCCTGGCCACCCCCCTCCCCGGGTGCTGCCATCAATGCAGAGCTCCCAGGAGTGCACGGGAGAGCCACCACTCCACTTCCCCATGGCAGCTCCTTCCCACTGCACCCCGGCCCAGCTGCATGGTGTGGGTGCCCCTGAGGCCCACGAGGACTGACCGCCGGGCCCCGCTGCGTGCACCCACCCACTGCGGCACCACCATGTCTCTGGAGTGGCTGATGGGTTGGAGCTGGTCCCTGGATGGACTCCGGGATTTCATCGCCACTGGCATCCAGTCTTTCCGGGACTGCGACGCCACCGCCCTGGCTGCTGTCGCCTGCTTCCTGGTCCTCTTTGTGTGGTACTGCTACCACGTGGGGCGGGAGCAGCCCCGCGCCTACACCACCGTCAACGCGCTGATGCAGAGCGCGGAGGTCAACGGGGTGCAGAACGGGTACGTGTACTGCCACTCGCCCGAGTGCGTGCGCTGCACCCACCACGACGGGCTCAACCAGAAACTCTACCACAACCTGCAGGAGTACGCCAAGCGCTACTCCTGGTCCGGCATGGGCAGGATCCACAAGGGCATCCGAGAGCAGGGCCGCTACCTCAACAGCCGGCCCTCCATCCAGAAGCCAGAAGTCTTCTTCCTGCCCGACTTGCCAACCACACCCTATTTCTCCCGGGACGCTCAAAAGCATGACGTGGAGTTGCTGGAGCGCAACTTCCAGACCATCCTGTGCGAGTTTGAGACCCTCTACAAAGCATTCTCAAACTGCAGCCTCCCGCAAGGATGGAAAATGAACAGCACGCCCAGCGGGGAGTGGTTCACCTTCTACCTGGTGAACCAGGGCATGTGCGTGCCCAGGAACTGCCGGAGATGCCCACGGACGTACCGCTTGCTCGGGAGCCTCCGCACCTGCATTGGCAACAATGTCTTTGGGAACGCGTGCATCTCCGTGCTGAGCCCGGGCACTGTCATCGCCGAACACTACGGACCCACCAACATCCGCATCCGCTGCCACCTCGGTGAGTGCCCAGCGCCGTGGCTCGTGTTCTCTGGGGGCAGTGCCGGGGCTGCAGCAGTGCCTGGGAGCAAGAGTTCCAAAAAGGCCTATGGCATCCAGTGCTCTTGGGGTTCAGCCACCAATTGCAGCCCTGGGGGGCTTAGGCACCTGCTCTACTTTGGCGTGAGGGAGGTTTTTAGGGCTTTTGTGGCAGCAGCCTCCTCAGGAGAAGCTGGTGCTCAGTCCCTGGGTATCTGACATCCCCAGAGTCCTCAGCTCAGCAGCAGGAGGGTCTCACCTCCTCCTCACACCAACTTGGGGCTGTGGGCTCTTGCCAGTGCAAGATACAGGGCTGATTTTGCACAGAGGTCTCCAAACGCCCCTCACTCTTCAGGCAGGCCCCCCTCCCATCCCAGGATGTGGCTCAGCCTGGGGTGCTGCTCCAGGGACTGTGTTGTGCCACTGGCAGCTCCCCACTCCTGGGATCTCAGGTGCTCTGTGCGGGACACAGGTGGATGGAATCAAAGATGCTGCTTTGGGGTTTGCAAAGATGCAAATGATGGTTGGGATGTCCTGGGGGGTCCCCTCTGATGGGTCAGGCATTGAGTTGGGGGCACAGTGCTCCCTGCTCTGCAGACACTGGGACAGGGAGAGCCCACACGGCACAGATGGCCGGGCTGGCAGTGGCACCGATCCTGCCGGGGGAGGCACCGCACGGGCTGGCTGGCAAATACCGAGCACGCCTGTTCAGCCAACAACTCGGGTAAACACACCCAGGCAGTGCTGGCCATTTATTTGGAAAAGGAGTCATTTTCAGAGTTGATCCCAGGAGCTGCTGGGCAACTGGGACCTGCCCTTGCTGGTTCCAGGAGGAAGCCTATCACTGACCCCACTCTCTGGGGCGCTCAGTGCTCCCCTCACGAGGGGCTGGAAGCGGTTCCTGGGAGGGGGCTGATGAGGTCCAGGTTGGCTCAGGTGAGCACAGCTGGAGCACACATGCCCTGGATACTTGGGAGATGCTGTTTGTTCCCTTCTCCTTCTACCAGGACACCGCACAGTGCCAGGGGCACACAGGCACCTCCACCTCTGTGCTGGGGACACGGTTCTTGCTGTGCCCAGGATTATTAGGAGATAACCTGCCCTTTCAAACAGCTTGCTCTGCAAAGCCAGTGCAGCCATTGGCATGGCTGAATCACTCTCGAGGATTTACTGCAACCCCCAGGCACGGGCACCAGCTCTGCCTCTCCCTGGGCCAGGGCAGCATCCCTGGGGTGCGAGTGCGATGGAAGGGCTGCAGGCTGCTGCTGCCTCCTCCCTGCATCCCCTGGTTGTTCTGCTCCCCCTTTACAGCCTCTCCAGCTGAGGCTGTTGTGCAGGGAAATGGCTTTGGGTTTTGTAGGCTTTGAAACAGCAGCTTTGTGCTCCCAGCTCTACCTGGCAGCTGGGAGTCCCTGCTGTGCTCAGTTTTGGCATCGCTCTCGGGTCCGTTCTGCTCGTTTGCTGCATCGTTACCATTCAGGAGCCACGTGAGCCCTGACCCCTTTCTCTGCCACAGCTGCATCCTCAGGGCAGGTTAGCTCTGCAGCAGCTCCAGTGTCCCCGGCACTGCAGGGGGTGACGGTCCTAATGCAGGTGGTGATGGGATCAACCCTTGTTAAACTGGTCTGGCTTGTGCTGATATCATACAAAAAGACCCATTTTATTTCTATAATTATCCTTCTTCCTGTGGCCCTCACAGAGCTGCTTCTTTACAAGGGTTTTGTGACGCCCCTGAATTTCTGTCCTTGCAGCCTGGTGGGTCCCTCTGTAGCAGCACTTGGGGTGGGGACCGAGGAATGGGGCAGGTGCTGAGTGATGCAAGGTCCATGGGCAGCTTGTGGCAGAGGCAGAATTGAGCCCATTTGCCAGTCCCAGTGCAGCAGTTCCTGCTTTCCCAGCCTTGCCCTGGGCAGGGTCAGCACAGCAGAGCTGGTCCTGAAGCTGGAAAACCTCCCAGGAGCCTGATTCCCTGCACACACCCTGGGGTCCTGGACTCCAGGGACTGGGAAGCTGTTCCAGATACAAAAGTGAGTGCCTGTGGTGCTGAGCTCACTGGGGACAGCAGGGGCTGAGCTGCACTAGGCTTGGGGTTCAGGTTGCTCCCTGGAGGGAAGTTGACCCTTGGCAGCAGCATGGAGCTCACATGGAACTCACGTGGGGCCCATATGGGGCTCGCTGTTTGTCACTGCTGCCCTGTCACAGGGAACACACCACCACCTGACCCTCCTTGTTCTCTCTCTTTGTGCCTGAAGGTCTGAAGACACCCAGCAACTGCGAGCTGGTGGTGGGGGGTGAGCCCCAGTGCTGGGCTGAGGGCCGGTGCCTCCTCTTCGACGACTCCTTCCTGCACACGGCATTCCACGAAGGTGAGCGCAGGTTCAACGTGTGCAGCCTCACAGTGTCCCCTCTGGTGCCAGGGGCCAGGGAGGAATGGGTGGGCAAGGACACCTGTGCCCAGTTCCCTCTCCCGCCACAGTAGGACTGGAGCACCTGCCTCCCGCTGGGCTTGGACTGCTGCTGCCCTTGGCTTGCACCACGTGGCAGCAGCCCTGCCCCTGGCACTGGGGGCTCACCCATGAAAATGCTTCCTCTGCCTCAGGGCATCTGGTGCCCCTTTCCTGGCAGAGCCCTGGAGCCCCCCACAGCCTGCCCAGGGCTTGCTCCCATCCTGACTTGCTTCTGGTGCTGCCACAGCACTGCCAGCCCTGCACGGGGCCTGGTGATCCTCTCCCTGCCCAGAGGTCCTCTCCCTGCCATGGCAGCCAGCTTGGAAAGGCTTCCTTCATTGCCGAGCTGTGCAGGGCAGCTCAGGCTGTGACGGCACATCCTCGGCATCCTCTGGCCCTCGCGCTGCCGCTGCAGCCGCCCTGTTGCAGGAGCAGCTCGGTGCTGACGTGACAGCGGCTCCTTTGTCTCCTGCGCAGGGGGAACAGCCTCACTCCCGCCTGGATTGTTCCTCCTTCCGTCGCTGACAGAGGCTGTTCCACTTCAGCTCTCCCAGATTAACCGGCATTAGTTGCCGATGACATAAAATCATCAAGCAGAGCTGTTCCCCACAGGGGAGCCTGTGGAGAGAGTGAAAGAACAAAAGCTGTTGCTTCCACCTAACCCGGCTGTGGAATTGGGAAGCGCAGCTCCGTGCAGGGCTGCAGGGCCAGGAAGGCTGGAATGGTGCAGCAGCTGTTCCCTGCAGATACAAGGTGCAGCTGCAAGGAGGGCGAGCGCAGCATCCTGCCTTGGCCCTGCCAGGGGAATCCTCTGGGTGCCCAAAGCAACTCTGGAGCTCCAGCAAGGAGGACCCTGCCCTATGCCAGTTACTGGAGGCACTGGGCTCCCAGTAGGTGTTTACTCTCAGGTATTTACTGGGGTTGCACTGGGCAGGTGCCTCCCTGTGCTCACCCTGCGCTTCCATCCCACCCAGGTGCCCCGGAGGATGGTCCCCGCGTGGTCTTCATGGTGGACCTGTGGCACCCCAATGTGGCGGCCGCTGAGCGCCAAGCCCTCGACTTCATCTTCGCGCCGGGACGATGACGGCGCTGCCCGGCCTGGTGGGCTCAGGGCAGCCGCGGGCGGGCGGCTGTGCCGGCTCGGCCCCGCCACGGCTCCGGGGCCGCACTGGAACCTTCCTCCCAGCACACGGCCTCGGTCCTCCCTCCCGGGGGCTCTTGTAAATGGAAACTGTGATGTGTATCAGCACCCATCTCTTTCCTCCATCGTTGGCTTCAGGGATTCTTTTCTCGCCCCCGCCGTGGCTCGCTGCCCCCCATGCTCCTACGTGTTCTGTTGCTACTGTGTTTTGCAGTGTTCAGAAGTAGAGTAACAAACCCAAGGGTGTTCGTTTGAATGTAATAATGTAAAATTTCTCGTGGTCATCAAAGGAACAGCACACACACCCCCCATAACAGCCAACCAGCCCAGCAAAGCACTCAGCCTGTCCTGCTTGGCTGCAGTCTGGGATGGATGGACAGATGGACACTGGGGGCTGCAGTAGACATGGTGCTCCCTCCTGGGTAGGAGCTACTCTGGCTGAGGCTGATAGGGTGGACAGGGCAGAGCTCTGCTCATAAAGAGCCCTCCCACCATGAGCTCAGGGGCTTATGCTTCCTCCCCCATCTGCTAGCCCGGGGCCCCCAACCCTCCTGTCCTCAGAAACTCCTTTTGTCACCCAAAAAGGGAGCAGAGCCCACTGCCTCGAGCTGCAGGTGCCCCCAGCCAAGCAAGGCAGCGAGCCCAGGGGTGCCCCAACATGCACCCTGCCAGGGGACAGCACACACAGCCCTGCTCTTCAGTCTGACCAAGGGCATTATCAATCGCCCAAATCCCCTCCTTGCTCTATCTGCAACCTTCAGTTTTCACAGCTCCAGCTGAGAAGCCCTGCAGGGGTAGAGATGCTGTTTGGGAACACAGAGTAGGGGTTTTGTCTGTCCATAGGAAGAAAGGAGGTCATCATTCCTTCTGGGAGGTCACCATTCCTTCTGCTGCTCCATCTTCTCCTTTCCTCGAGCCAGGGCAGGTGCACACAGCAGCAGCTCACATGGACCTGCCTCCAAAGGAAAGGTTCCCAAGGCAGAGGGGTTAACACTGCAGCCTGAGGAATGAGCCCCCCACCTTGAGGTCCTGCCTGCCCAGCGACCACCTGCTTTTCCTGAAGGCACCCAGCATCCAGGGTCTGTTTGGGGGACAGTTTATGACATCCTACATGTGAAGCACAGCGTGCTGTGGTTGCTCACCACTGTCCTTGCTGGGGACCGCTCAGCTCCGTGCCCTGCCGGGGAGGGAACACAGCCCTGTCCCCCTACAACTTCTTTACAGACTTCTCAGTGATTTGATTGCGAGATAAGGCAGAGATTTCAAATACATCTGAGATATTTTTTACACCTGTCTTGTTACAGACTATCTGAAGTGCATGATTTCTACTCGCATTGGCTACCTGGCCGCAGGCCCTGGGGAAGCAGGTTGGCTCTGTCCGACAGTCGGTAACATTCATAAGTGGATAAGCAAAGATTATCAATAAACAGTTGTGCTGAAAACAGAAGGGGCTCTGCCTGCTGCTCTAATCAGTCCAGGGTCAAGCAAACACTGAGAGGTTGGGTCCTGCTTATCACAGCAGCTCAGCCGGCTGCTGGTGGGGAGAACATGCTGGAAGAGCAGGAGCTGCAGGGTGGGAGGGGGCATTGGCCCATTTGCCAGGGATATGGTGAGTGAAGGCAATGCTTTAAAGTACCCAACCCCATGAGACCTCTGTCCCCATGGATTTGGCCAGGCTGGATGGGGCCCTGAGCAACCTGGTCGAGTGGGTGAATTCCTGCCCATGGCAGGGGGTTGGAACTGGATATTTGGGGTCCTTTCCAACCCAAACCATTCTGAGATTCTGTGATGTCAGTCAACCCCAGGCTGCCAAGTAGCACAGGGAACACCTCCCTGCCTCTCCCATAGCTGTGGCGTGGCATGGGCACAGCTATGGTTATGGCAGCACTGCCTGGCCTGGGGCAGCAGAGACTGTCCCCAGTCATCCCCAGAAGCAGCTGCAGCCCCTCAGCTCCCAGAACCTCACAGCAGCCACTAGTCTTGCCAGAGCATCCGCAAACAAACCATTCTGGGAATTGCTTCCAGCTGCCTGCACTGACGCATCAAAGGCAGCAGATCCCCAGGAGCAGCTCCAGGGCAGAGAGTGCTGCTTAACTCCAACCCTACTGCCTGAAAACAGCAGCAGAGAGCCAGCTTGGCAGGGCAGGAATCGCCCTCCACGACTCCCTGGGCCTCGCTGGTGGCACTCAGACAGACCCAGCTGCAGCAGCTGCTCCTCATCCCCTTATGCTCAAAATGCCCCATTTTTAAACCTCTCCAGCACAGCAGTCACGCCAAGGGCCGGGAGCTCTCCATGTGCTGCCCAGACAACTTTTCTCCCAGCCAGCTCAGGCAGAGAGGTCTGGGTGACCAGATGCAGCCCCAGCAGCCACGGGAAGGAGCCACCCCAGCTGTTCCCCCGCCGGCAGACGGCTCGGCAGATTGCGGCAGGAGATCCCCGACGGCAGCAGGCGAGAGCATTCATCTATTTTGTGTCTTGCTGCTGTGCCAAATATCCCTCCTGTCCCTCTCAGGATTTTCCTTCAACTTCTACGTGTTTCCTGATAGAGCACACAACCACTTCCGAAAACACCCAGGCAGGAGCCAGCCGGATCTCCCCGGGGAGCAAACCAGGCTGGAGCTGCCTCGCAGCCCTGCCCGCTGGCTCGCTGCTCCCAGCACTCCGAGGCTTCCTCACCTCCTGGGAATTGCAGAGGGAACCCGGATCTGCTGAGTGTGCAGAGGCGACAGGCAGAGCAGCATCTACCAGAGGGGCTGCTTGGCTCAGCCTGGCAGGGAGCCCAGAGCACCGAAGAGGCTGGAGAACACAGCCCCTCCCCTCCTGCCTTCTCCCACCCACGCGATGCCTCCCTGTGCTCTGCTCCAGACCCAGAGCAGCTTGGCCATCACTCAAGGCAAGTGCACAGGGAAGTCACACAGGGAAGCAGCACCTTACCTTCCACATGGATGTCACTGAAACAGGAGGTCACTAGGATGGCTCCAGCTCAGGCTTCCCAGTGAGCTTTCACTCCTACACTGCCAACAGGCTCCTGACAGTCCTTCTGTGCAGAGCAGCTTCCCTGCCATCGTGCCCAGGACAGGCGCAGTGCCACACGGCCCTGCTCCTGCTGAAACACCCCCTCAGCTGCCAGGGCTGGCATCCAGGTGGCAATCCATGCCCAGCCACCTCTGAGCAAGCAGCTGACTTGTCCTCTGGAGTCCTCTGAAGTTCCCAGCAAGGTCTTCAGAGTAGCCCTGCAATGGCAGAGACCTTGGGAACTGCCTGTGTCAGAGCAGAACCACGAGCTGTGACCATGGTGACCTCACCATGTCCAGCTCTGATGCTGACACGAGGCTGCTCACCATCTCACCATGTTCATGTCTCTCTCACTATCTCTCAGTAACACCAGTAATGCATCTACCTTCAGGAATCTTCCAAGAAGTTGCTTTGCAAGAATGACTGAACCAACAGGCACTGCCTGTTCAACCCCACCAGTGCAGGAACTACCCTTGGCACAGAGCTAAGAGAGGGAACAGCTCACCCAACCCAAGCCATCACACTACGAACCACAAACACGACAACCAACATGACTCTGGCTGCTGAAACAGTGCCAGAATGAGCCTTGGAGACTCTCTTTTATTTCCAGTCACACTGGGGGGGGGGTGTGTACGTACCAGCAGCAGGTTTCCAAGCCCAGCCAAACATCTATCCATCCCTCAGGTCTAAGCAGCCATCACCACAGACCCCCCCAGCCACCATTGAGAGGGGACACTCTGTCAGAGCAGGAAGGGAACAGTTGCTGAGGGGCTACAAAACCTCTTTGGTCCCATCAGCTTAAGAGGCGGTTTCAGGGTCAACAGAGCGTGGGCAAATGGAGCATCAAGAGCAGCAAAACAAGATCCTGCACCAGGAGGGAGGGAGCAGAAGGACACTCACACCACCACCACCATCACAGGGCCCTGTGAGGCCACGGGGTCCAGGTGTGGGCAGCGCTGGGCTGCACCATCACTGACCAGGCAGGTGTGGAGGGACAAGAACCTCCCAGAGTCACCTACAACATAAAAGCCTCCTGACAGCACCTGGAGGAGGCTTATGAGTTCTGCAGCACTTCTCCAGTCTGAGAACAGGCAGGCTCTGCTAATCAAGGTAAGGCACTACATCATGGCAGGGCTCATTCCTATGGATTAAGAGATATAAATAAAGCCCAAGTCTGAGCAGGGCAAGTGCAGGCACAGACAGTGTCTGACTGACATGTCTCAAAGCCAGCGCTGCCCGGGGGCTGTGTGGCTCAGAGGAAGACGAGGTTTTACATCAGGTCAAGGCACGTGGGGAGTCTACAGAGCACCAGGAACTGGCCCAGAGTCCATGTAAACCAAGCGCCCCAACACGGCTGTGTTCTGTCTTCAGTCTTTGGTAAGTGCTAATGTCAGTAACACCTGCCCTGGCCCCAGATGAGCTGCAGGACAGGGCAAAAAGTGACCCTTTTGAGGGTCAGGCAGGCTGGAGACCCCACAGAGGCAGGGCAGAGCCTCGTGCCTCTGACGGAATAAATGGCTGAGATTTTCCTTATTGGAGATGAACATTCAGCAGGGGCTGAGACACGTTGTCTGAGCACATCAGCTCACAGCAGGTTCACCCCGTGCTTCAGCAGCTTCTGCTTGGCCTTGCTGGGCAGGCTGAAGGCACTGTCGTGCGGGTTGGGGACACCTGAGTTGCGGAGCGGAGCACCCAGCTGCTGGAAGTAGGTTTCCTGGACGGGATTCCGACAGGCGTACACGGCTGTGGAGGCATTCCTGGCAGGGCAGCAGAGAGGGAAGAGGTCAGATTTACAGATTCAGGCCAGATTCACAGGTGGGCACTGGTGTGTTTACAGCACTGGGCTCCCAGCTACTGAGAGGGACTTTCAAATGTCTCAGCGAGGGAACACGGAGCTAAATGGGCACCAAACCCCTGCAGTGCATTCCCAGAAG